TTGATGGGATATTGAGAATATTGAGGAAAATTTTGATTTTCAAATTTTAAGATTTTAAGATTTTCAGAACTTTAAATTTGTCAAAATCCGAAAAATATGGCTCCCTATTTTTTAAATTTTTTAAAAATTTCAGCATTTTTTCTCCGGTTTTTTGACAAGTTTCAGGTATTTGATAATGAAAAAAAATTGGTTTTCTGTTTCTAGAAATTTCCAGACATTCCTGTTTCCAGATTTTTTAGAATTCCAAAATGTGGTTAGAGTTATTTTTTTGGAAATTTTCAATTTCCAATTTTTTTCAAATTTTCAGTATATTCTACACATTTATGTCCAATTTCCAGGTTTCTAGCTCATCTAGAAGCCGAGATATGGTCATTTGAAGTTTTGGAGGTTAGAGACGCAGCGTGTCTCGTTGTCTGGCGTCTCTGGCGTCTCTAGCCTCCGAAACTTGAAACGGCCGTATCTCGGCTCCTAGACGAGCTAGAACACTGATATTTAGACAGAAATGTGTAGGATTTCATAAGGAACAAGTTGATAGCAAATTCGAAGGCTAGAGACGCCAGACGACGAGACACACTGCGTCTCTAACCTCCAAAACTTCAAATGGCTAAATCTCGGCTTCTAGAAACGCTAGAAAATTGATTCTTTCGTCAAATCATTGCATTTTTTGCAGATAATCGTCCCGAACTGCTCCCTTTGCCTTCAAGAAATGGTCATGACCGCACGTTTCATGGAGAAATATGGAAAAGACTTTGGAATCAGTCTTCCCGACGAATTCCACTTGCAAAGCTCGAAACTCGGCGCGAAATACAGCTCGGAGAAGGCGATGGACAAGGCGATCGAGAAGCATTTGAAGAGGATCGCTATGAAGGGCGGTGCGGATCAGTCGGACGGTGGAGGTGGTGGCATAGACGACGATGACGATGATCAGACGGTAATTTAGGACACAGAAATCATAGAAAAATCGATTATCGATTTTTTCTCCAGATCTCAATCACCAACTCGCAGCAATCGTTTGGCCGTCGAAATCGCCTAAAACGCAAATTCGTGAAACCGTGCTTCCGCCAAGTCTGTCCACCGAATTCCGAGTTTTTCGAACCGAAATCCGCGTGCGAATGGCGTTGTCGTCTGTGCAATCGCTTCGTTTATGCCGCCGTCATCTCGGCGGGCGCCATCAAACATTTCAAGGAGTTCCATCCGGCGGAAATCGATAAAATGCAATATGAACTTGTTAAGGTAGGAAAATGAGCGAAAAAGCCGGAAAAATCGGTTGAAAATGAACCAAAATAGGGTTGGAGAGGCTAGAGACGCAGTGTGTCTCGTCGTCTGGCGTCTCTAGCCAGAGGATTCACTATCAACTTGTCCTTGAGACATTCTACACATTTCTGGACA